GCTGCAGTGACAATGGCGCATCGTGCATTCCCTGCACTATAATTCCAGTCATGATCTCTCTCAATTGCTATTTTAAAATGAAAACAAAAAACTGTAAGGGTCATGCCTAATAATGCAACATCTGTAATGTTAAATCCATGATCTGTAGTTAAACTCAGGGTTTGTAACTTATGGGGTGCAGCAGGTACTGTAATTGTCTCAATACTCTGACACACAATTTTGCATCTGGATCTTCACCCTTCCTTCTTCAAACCTGATTGGTGGACCTCAAGTTTCAAGTAAAGGGTGTGGAGGAAGGTAGATCACACAATCCAGAGGCCTTCCCATTCCTGTCCTAAGGAGCTGAAAGTTGTCCACCAACTTTGTGTGGGTCATCATATGGAACAGTGTTACTATCCTATTTAAGGTGCTATCCTAAGCACACTTACCTGAGAGTAACTGGACTCAGTGTGAATGACTTCAGGATTGCACTGCAATCCTATATATATATATATTGATTGGATTTCATTGGTTGGACATTCTTTGCTGTTATATTCTAAAGACACTCTATGAATGTGAGCGCCCAGGTCCAAGAATGAGGGTTTGCAATGCATGTTTCAGTACGTGGCTCAAACAGCAAACATTAAGTAAGATGAGTGACTCCTTGCTAACACAAACATCTACGATCTTCCAGCAAACAATGTAGAAATATGCATCAACAGGGGCGCCATTTCTGAGGGGCCAAGCTCACTTACCCCCCCTTGGAATTTATTTTATTTTTTATTTTTTTGGAGGGAGGGATGGCAGCAGCAGCAGGCCGAGTTCAAGAGAGAGGAACTGCCAGCCATTGAAATTGTGCCTATGCCACATTCGACTCTGTCCTTGGCTCCTCCCGACATTGTGACGGCGGCCCCCCAATCTTCGGCACAAGTTGGTGCCTCTGTGCATCAACCTATGCTTGAGATTTTCTCTGGGGTACAGATCTATGTTGCTGTATTTTTGTTGTTGTAATTGCTTTTTACATTTGCTCATTTGAGTGAGGGTTGAATGTCCACAATAAATGGATTGTGCTTCTGTTTATTCAGTAAGCAGGGAAAGTCATGTGTAAAAGGGACAGCTGATTGCTAAACCAATTGTCTAATTTCTTGGACAAGACTGGAAAAGGAGATTAAAGGCCTATCTACATATTCAGAAGACTCACGTTGTGCTGTCCTTCTGGGTTGTGCAACTTCATAATGCAGGGAAGGAGGCAAACAGTAAACAGTACAGTTATATGGTTTGTTATGTATGTAAAGAATAGGTTGGGGCAGAACTGAATAAAGACACATGCTCCATGGAGCTGCAATGTTCTGCAAAGAAGGGCATTCCTTTAAGATAAGGACATTCCTTTAAATAATCAATATCTGGCAATCCAAGGTTTTATTGCAGCACCACAAAGGAATGTACATTGTTTTACATCCTGCCCATGTTAGCTCTTTGTCCTGGATTTTAGTTTGCCTTCAGTTGAGCAGAACTCATGTAAACATGCTCTTAACTGGAATTGAATTAACATTAAGTCATGTAGTGTAAACTAATTTGTGGATGGAAATATAGAGCTAAAACTCTTGATTTAGCAGTCTTTGCAGCCCTTTTCTTATAAGTGTTGGTGCAAACGGATGTACCTAGGGACAGCAGCACATTTACAATTGGGTTCACATGGTCATTTTGGGTCACATTTTCTCCATGTGAAGTAAAGCTAAAGGTAAAGGGACCCCTAACAATTACCGTATTTTTCGCTCTATAACACGCACCTGACCATAACACGCACATCGTTTTTAGAGGAGGAAAACAAGGGAAAAAACATTCTGAATGAAACAGTGGATGTATCATTTTTGTGCTTCATGCTGTGGCCACAGACATGTGATCTGATGGTGAATTTGGGGTGACCCAATGCAAAGATCCTGAGAATCCCTGTGGATCCATGCTTTGTAACCACGTTTTTGCACCATTGCAGCCCCAGGCAACAGTGGGTGCGTGCTTTTTTTGGTGCAGGCTGTAGCCATGGACATGCTATGTGATCTGATGGTGAATTTGGGGTGACCCAATGCAAAGATCCTGAGGATCCATGTGGATCCATGCTTTTTAACCACATGTTTGCACCATTGCAGCCCCAGGCAACAGTGGGTGCGTGATTTTTTTGGTGCAGGCTGTAGCCATGGACATGCTATGTGATCTGATGGTGAATTTGGGGTGACCCAATGCAAAGATCCTGAGGATCCATGTGGATCCATGCTTTTTAACCACGTTTTTGCACCATTGCAGCCCCAGGCAACAGTGGGTGCGTGATTTTTTTGGTGCAGGCTGTAGCCATGGACATGCTATGTGATCTGATGGTGAATTTGGGGTGACCCAATGCAAAGATCCTGAGGATCCATGTGGATCCATGCTTTTTAACCACGTTTTTGCACCATTGCAGCCCCAGGCAACAGTGGGTGCGTGATTTTTTTGGTGCAGGCTGTAGCCATGGACATGCTATGTGATCTGATGGTGAATTTGGGGTGACCCAATGCAAAGATCCTGAGGATCCATGTTGATCTATGCTTTGTAACCACATTTTAAGTGGGGAGCGAAGGAAAAACAAAGAAGGGACATGAGAGGGGTGTGCAGAGAAGCAGCTGGCTAAGAATGCTGGAGAGGGATTTAATGGGTGGGAGGCAAAAGTTCCCCCCCAAGCCAGCCATCTCTCTCTCTCTCTCTCTCTCTCTCTCTCTCTCTCTCTCTCTCCCTCTCCCTCTCCCTCTCCCTCCCCCCCTCTCCCTCTCCCTCCCCCACTCTCTCTCCCTCTCCCCCAGCAGTACCGGAGCACAGAGACGACACTTTCCCCTCTGCTTGCCTGGAGGGGAGGGGCTTTCCCTGCTCTTTGTTCCGTTTCAGCAATCACAGCAAGGAAACAGAGGAGGGTGGGCAGTAAGACCCTGAGGCAGAATACAGGAAAGCTGCCACTTCCTCTTTTCAGGTTTCCCTTCTCCGTGACTCGCGATTTGACTTTTGCTTGATTTTTTGGCTCCAGGGACCACACATTCGCTCCATAACACGCACAGACATTTCCCCTTCCTTTTTAGGAGAAAAAATCTGCGTGTTATAGAGGGAAAAATACGGTAAGTCCAGTCGCAAACGACTCTGGGGTTGCGGCACTCATATCGCTTTAAAGGCCGGGGGAGCTGGCGTTTGTCCGCAGACAGTTTTTCCGGGTCATGTGGCCAGCGTGACTAAGCCGCTTCTGGCAAAACCAGAGCAGTGCACGGAAATGCCATTTACCTTCCCGCTGGAGCGGTACCTACTTATCTACTTGCACTGCGTGCTTTCGAACTGCTAGATTGGCAGAAGCAGGGACTGAGCAATGGGAGCTCACCCCGTCGCAGGGATTCGAACCGCCAACATTTTGATCGGCAAGCCCAAGCGGCACAATGGTTTAACCCACAGCGCCACCCGCATGTCACCTCCATGTGAAGTACACCCAGGTAAAAGGACAGCATGAAGAAAGTACTCTGTGAACTGGAAAATGTGCAGAAAACTATTGCAACCCTTTCTACACGGGTTGCACCACCCCGAAGTACCACTGTGATTATAATAATTGCTGCGAAAGTCTGCCTGTGCCCTGCCAGTTTATAAGGTACCTTCTTCATGTGATGATGGGCAAGTCCAGTATGTGCTCATTCAGCAGCAGAAGATGTGACTGTGTGAACCAGTCCAGTAATGGGCGTTAACATGAGATTCAGGCATATATGTGGCCATCAGGCAGTTGCAGTGAAATGGGATGCTTCTGCTCTTCCAGATGCATTGACACCACTGCTTGCCAGGACACGATAAGGCAAGACGGTGGTGAGGGGGCATCAGGTTAGTGGCGGGTTAAGATGTACGCACATTTGTGGCTGCTGCCAGCAACCCAAGGCTCCCTTCATTAATCCTAGCTTTTATTTTAGTTCTAAATTGCATGATTTTCTTACTCTTAGGGTTGCAAAGGAACGTTTGAAGCTTTGAAGTCTAACAGTGGCATTCAACCAAGTAATTGTGCAAGCACAATGATTAGAACTAGTGCAATGATATTTCCTCCCTTCTCACTTGCCCTGCACCACCCCCAAATCTGCTCTGGAGGGTTGGGGACTCATGGGGGGAGGAGACGGGGGGAACATTTGATTGTGCAAGGAGACATTCACCTTAGTGAAACATTCACCTTACTGCTACAGTAGAAACCTCAGAAATAAGGGGCAGGAGGACAAATAAATGGTGATTTTCATAGAATTATTTCCAAGCCCATTTCAGGGCAGATGTTAGATGTCACATTTGGGGATTATTTCAGACATATACAGTAGATGAAATCCAGCACATCCGTCAGGGTTAGCTTGGACTCCCCACATGATGGCAAATTAACTACCCTATATACTCAAGTATAAGCCAACGTTTTCAGCACATTTTTTATGCTGAAAATGCCCCCTCGGCTTATACTGGAGTGAGGCGGGCAGCGGTGGCGGAGGGACGAGTGGCACGAAAGCAGCCCTTTCTCGCTGCTGGTCCCACTGCTGCCACCCACCTTTCACAAGGGCAGGCACAGGATCTGCCATTGGAAGAGGCGCTGCGCTGCGCTGTGCCTCTCGCAACCGCAGCTCCTATGCTCTTGTGAGGGGCAGAGGGGGCGGTGGAGGGACCAGGGGCCTGAAAATAGCCCTTTCGGGCTGCTCCTTCCTCCTCCTCCACCTTAGCCACTGTCAGCGGTGGCGGCGGAGGAAAGAGCACCACCACCATTGCTACTAGGAATGTGAATGGAAAGCTGATTTAAGAAGCCCCAGAAAAAGCAATTCGGGAGAAGAATTTGTATTGGAAAGTCCGCAATATTGTGCTATCTTACCAGAATATGAATTCAACTATTATTATTGCTGATTGAAAAGGAATATAGAAATTTTTAATTTATATATTTTTTCACTTTGGGGTTAACAAGTTTGTTAACATTTTTGCAGCAACAAAAAATAAATTTACCAATTGAATAAATACACTATTTTTCTTCTTCTTTTATATATATGAACACATATATTTTACAAAACCCCATAGCAGCATGGGAAATAAAGATCCTTCTACAAAAAGAAGATGTTAAGTCAGTGTACAAAATAAAGCTTTAGAGTTTCAAAATCATATCTGGGCAAGAGAGACGTATACCAGTTAGAGGTGCTTCTTCCATTCATTTGCTCCGGAGGCCCAGGTGAAATAGTTCATTGAGAACATACACAATCCTTCTCCTCTTTTCTGGATATTGCACTTACAAATCCTTGTTTTGTCAGGAAGGACTGAGCAGATTCAACAGCAGAGATGTCGTTGCTACACAGACAGAAAGAGTTAAGAGTGATGCCATGTTGCTGCCTATGGCTGAGCTTTTGAGATGACGACGGAATGCAAGGTCTGGCTGGGGCTGCTGGTCCAGAGGCTTTGAAAACCAAACAGAAGGGTTGACTGAGATGTAGCTGTTGGTTATCCTGATGTGAGAAGGCACGGTGGTTGTCCTAGAAGAAAACACAGAAGGGCAAGGTTACAAGGTTACATTGGATTCCATGCATACTTGCCATTGGGTTTTTAAAATGTTGCTGGGGATATTCAGTGCCAAAGGCCCAAATCTCCTCCCCCTCTATTGTCCTGAAAAGGTACAATTTTCCATATGACAAAACACATATTCAATTGCTCTGCAAATAGTGGGGCAAAGGACCTAATCCATAAACAATAGACTAGACTCAGAAAATCCTGTTGCCAAACCTGGTGCTTGGGCATATATATTGAAATGAGCATAAATAAACCTAAATACACTTGGATGAACATTGAAACCATGGCCTTATTTCACGTAACTGATGGAAGTGGTCTTACCATGGGGATTACTTGTCAGCATGCAGCAAGTTTTCCTTGAGGGATAAATTTGTAATTGAAAGGAAAAGGGACTGATAAATTGCAATGGTGATTCATGGTTCTGTGTAAATATGCCATATAATGAACCTGATTTGAATTTGGGGTTTTGTTCCTACAATTTTCTGCATGTGCTTCCTATTTATTTCCAAAACAAAAGTCATCATGGTGTGTGTGTGTTTTTTTAAAAAAAGACCTGAACAGATGTGGAGCCGATTCTATCAGAATATTCTCCATGTTGTTTTTGTAGTAGTTCTTGTTGTTTAAGGCTGGAGAACAACTAATACGTGTTTCTCCTTTGGAAGAGGTCACTGTAATATTAACAGATAATCATGAATTTCATTAACGGTATTGTATCACATGAAAGTCATCAAAATCTTCAATGTGCCAGACTTCAAAGGAATTCTCACAATATTTTGAAATTGCACATAGCCTAGCCATCCACACAAACTATTGAACACAATTGGTACTTAAGGAATAACATGTATTCTTAATTGTGAAGGCAAGCAAATAGGTTGATTTGTTGCCTGGGTGGTGGCGAGATGTCGGTGATACACCTTGCAGCAGTATCCACAGTGCCTACCCTGGAAATATGGGCTGTGTTGGTGGTGTGGGAGGCTGAGGGAGCTCCATCTTGGTGGTGGCTCTCCAGGTGTGTGGGATGCTGTCACTTGTGAGATGCTGTAACCACCACCAACACAGAGCTCCCCAGCATCTCCCCACCCCACCCCAATGCTATGTTTTGGTTCTGCAGATTTCCAGCTGCCCCTAGTTGTTCATCTCAGGGAAATACTGTGTGTTTGAAAGATGGTGTCCACAGAGAATAATCAGAGGTGGTGCTTAGGTTAATTCTTAGACAACTGCAGAGGGGAGAATGCCTTGTAAAATCCAATAACCTTTGAAGCACGCCCTTGGAGTGATTACTCCATCCTCAACCTAATGATTTAAAGATGTGAGAGTCCTTTCTGATTTGGCAACAACAAGAATTTCATCCTTATTAAAACCAGTCTGTCAGGAAACGATATATCATTCTCTGAGGAGGAAAAAAACACCCACCACCCTAACTTTAGAATTGCTATAACTGTTCAAGGTTATGTAGCTGGAAAATGGCACAGATTCTCACGAAGTGTCTGTGTGGTCCTCGAGCAGGAGATGACAACATTAACTCTTCTTTTTGCCCTCCTCCCCACTACCTCAGAAATGCTTTGATGCTTTTGTAATATTTTGGGAACATCCCTTCATAATTCCATACCATGACTTACCACCACAGTCGACACAGCCTCCCTTGAAGAACCCACCCCATTTTTCATCCAAGTCCCTGGGCTGAGACAAGCCTTTCTGTGTGTGTCGTTTATTTTGTCAGCCCTTCACAGACAACCGAGGAAGAATGAATTCAATAATAGACGCAAAGCATGGATGGTAACACTGCCTCATAAAAAGGCCTGCTTGCTGTTTCTGGGCTTACACAAGCGGTGACATTTCTTGATCTTTCAGACATGAAAAGCTGCCTTCTAACAATATGACACCATGGTCTTAGGGCTTATCCATTCCTAACTTTCCTCCGCTCTTTCCAGGCATGGTCCATGATTTAAAGTTCCATGTCTGAGCACCTTTTCTGTTGTTGCTCTGGAGCTTTTCTCACAAAAGCCCACTCTTTTAGAGCTCAGTTGGAGCAAACATCAATCCACAGAAAATGCTAATTGATGTTTGCTCTGATTCAGCTTCAAAGAGTGGGGTTTTTGCAGGGCAAAAAAATCCCCAAATGCTTCGACACTGAGCATCCAAGCAGAGACTATTACCTGGAAAGAGTGTGGCAAAAGACTAGTGTGGATAAGCCCTTAATACTAGCCAAACAACATAGAGGTTAAAATACCCAATAGATTACTCCAACTCCAACTTGAAAAGGAAACGAGCTCTGACTGATTAGCGCTAGCCATCTAGGTTCTCTTGCAACCTTTAGTGTTCTGAGTACAATCCCTTTCCTACAATTTTTCTATTAATAGTGGGCAGGAGGATGTTTTACACATCTGTGGTTTCTTCTTTAACCACAGCTAAAGTCCAATTTGACAGCCAGGATACAGCATACACTGACACGTTCCCCTCTGATTAGGGGTGGACTTTGGTTTTTCAAATTTCAGTGGTGCCCTGTGAGGGGCCAAAATTTGCACCCCTACCTCTCACCCTCTGTTCTGCTCAATTTCCTGTCTTCCCTGTGGTGCCCCCTTTGCTCAGCACCCAGTGCAGCAGAACTGGTTCCACTGCCCTAAATTTGCCTCTGCTCTCATCCATGAATTAGAAATGCTTTGGAGCAGCAGTACATACCCTCTAACATGCAGTGTCCATTAGCAGGGTGAAACCTGACAACCTTTTGGGTCTATGCCTCTTAAATACTGTAACTACCGTATTTTTCTCTCTATAAGACACACCAGACCACAAGACTCACCTAGTTTTTGGAGGAGGAAAACAAGAAAAAAAAATATTCTGAATCTCAGAAGCCACAACAGCAAGAGGGATCACTGCGCAGTGAAAGCAGCAATCCCTCTTGCTGTTCTGGCTTCTGGGATAGCTGTGCAGCCTGCATTCGCCTCATAAGACGCACACACATTTCTCCTTACTTTTTAGGAGGGAAAAAGTGAGTCTTATAGAGCAAAAAATACGGTATTTTTTTGGTCACAATCTACCTTGAGGCCTGAATTAATACTTCGGGGGGGGGGATAAAAAACTCATCTACATGTACAGTGGTACCTCAGGTTACATATGCTTCAGGTTACATACGCTTCAGGTTACACACTCCGCTAACCCAGAAATAGTGCTTCAGGTTAAGAACTTTGCTTCAGGATAAGAACAGAAATCGGGCTCTGGCGGTGCGGCAGCAGCGGGAGGCCCCATTAGCTAAAGTGGTTCTTCAGGTTAAGAACAGTTTCAGGTTAAGAACGGACCTCCGGAACAATTTAAGTACTTAACCAGAGGTACCACTGTACTACAAACTTTCAAGGGTTTGACAAAGAATCTTACAGCAGGGAATTCAGTAGCAGGACAAAACTTACTGCATATACATTATAGATAACAGGAACGAGCCTAGATAATTTAAAAATTATTATTAAACTTTCTCTTAAATTAGGATTCCTACCCCGTATTTAATCCCTGTTGACCTTTGTTGAAGTGGATGTTTTTCTCTTGTGTTTTATAGTGGAGCAGGATAGCCAGTTGTTAGCCTTCTACACATACAAACTAGATGCTAAACTATATTAAGACTTTTCAAAACTAGTTTTAAGGAACATCTGGCAAGTGAAAGCTATGGATATGGAATATTTAAATGGAGAGGCTCCTATTTATAAATTAAAAGATCCACCAGAACAGCTGCTAACAAGTGGTCTCCTGGAGCTCATCTGCCACCCACAGTTTTTCATCACCACTGATAAACATGTGCATGGATCATATGCAGAGGCTACCCTTCCTTTGAGGTGCTCAATGAACATGTGGTCAAGCATAGTGTAAACATGCTCTTCTCAGGCAGCAAACTACAAGTGCTTGCAAAGTTCGTGCTTTTGCAGGGCCACAAAATTAGCAGTACATCAGCTCACATGAGATGGTGGTTGTGTAGTCATTGTTTGCCTTGTCTGTTTAATCTACACTAAATGTTTAAAAAAGATAGCGGCCTTGTAAATTGGACACATAGAGAAGAGAATTGCTACCAATGGAATTCCAATATTTCCAATATGGCCATGGAAAGGCCATAGCTCAGTGGTAGAGTATCTGTTTTGCCTGCAGAAGTTTCCAGGTTTGATCCCCAGCATCTCAAGTAGGACAGAGAACTCTCCCTAGATATAAAGGTCACCTGCAGAGGAAGTGTGGAAATGCCTCACACATCTTCCTCGTGGCTCACCATGGTAAATAATAGTTAGCATCAAGATATAGAAGCTGAGCTCCAAATCGTCACAAGAAGCTTACTGAGTGACCTAGGGCAAATTAGCCTCTCACAGCCTCCTCAGGTTGTATTAAGGATAAAAGGTGGGGAAGGATATTGTGCACCATCCTGAACTCAGAGGAAGGATAGAATTAAAACTTTAAAAAGAGATAAATAAATGGCATTTGTCTATGATGTGATCACGAACCCTTCTAGAAGCTGAAGAGGTCATGTAACAATCTAGCTTCTTGCATGCTATAGCTGTTCAGTAGGCAAATCACCCTCAGGAACATGCTAGCACTCTTTAGCCTGGCAGGGAATGGCTCTCTTTAAAAGGTGCTGAACCTGGCACTTGGAGCCCAGAAACTGAGAGCTTATGAGAGATGAACTCAACCAGACTTCAGAACTTGAAAAGGGTTTCCTGACTGCACTGTGCCCTGACACAGAAGTTCAATGGAAAGGACTCATGGGAGCTCTTACTTTCTGTCTGTCAACCCCAACGATCAGAGCCAAACACCTCTTCTGTGGAGGAGTCTCTGTGGGTTTGACAACAGAGTCAATGGCTTTTATTTCTAAGAATTATAGTCTGTATTCCCAGCCCACAGGGTTTGTATAGTGACTTACAGTCAATTAAAATGGAAGTCTATATAATAAAACAGGGGTTTTATTATAAAACCTGTGGCCCTCCAGATGTTGCCAGGCTACAGATTCCTTCTTGCCTGTCTATGGGCAGGAATGCTGCCTGGGGCTGGGGGGGGGGGTAGGACCAGGTGTTCTCCATCCATGCAATTAAAAAACCCCATATACACATTCAAACACACTTTTTAAAAAGATCCTGTAGAGGTCTATAAATGAATTTGATCAAGCATAAATTAGCCTACACCAATATAAAGATTATAACCATCTTCCATAAACTCAGAAATGAGTCACCCTGGTAATCCTGGGCAATTAGTTCCTTAAAGAGGGGACCATTATAGAGAAGCCCCTGGAGAGCAGCCTGGGGAAGACTCCTCCCTGCATACCGTCCTCATTACAATCACATTGTCCACAGCTTGCCAAGTGGACTGCGGTGGAGTGTGAGGAGTGCAGTTGACATGACAAGGATGGCATGTGGTCTTGGAGGAATGCAAGATTAGCAGTGAGGCAGCAAAAATTGGTGGTGGTTGGCAGCTTTTGGCACCCATGTGGTCCTCAGTGAAAGCCTCTGGGGGCCGCAGGTGGACCCCGAGCCACAACTTGCTCACAGGTACCTTATTTTCATGTTCTGTTGTAAACTCAGATGGAAAAAAGTAATCCTACTTATTTCACGTTTTCCTGTGTGGTGTCAAATAGGCTTAACAACAGTAAAAAGAGAAATATTAACGGAGCATGAAAATTTGCTATGCAGACTGAATATAATGTCATGCTATGGGCGTGAGCGCTAAATTCCTTGCCTGTACTTTAATAATGCAAAGCCTAAGTAGCAGGACTTGAACCCCTGTGAGATTAAAAAATAAAATAAAAAATGGCTTCCTCTCCTAGCTGGCTGATCATATGAAAATGCATAAAGAACACATGTTCGGAGGGTTCAATTAATATATCCTGCACACTCTGACCAGACAACTAATCCAAAAAGCTCTACTAAAGCCATCAAGGGAAGGAGAGGATGCTGGCAGAAACAATGAGTGGGGAGATTTACTTTTTCCTCACAGACACTGTGAGTTATGCCGTGCCGTTATTTTACTTGCACGTCTTGCCTGCATTTATCATATTCATCAGGAAGCTGGGGATGTCAAGAGCAGATGTTGGACCAGTTGCACAGGTGCAGACTCGCGGGCTTGGGCAAGGCTCTGCTGATACAGCGGAAAGGTGGATGTGAGCCTCCTCTATTAGCTGATTTATGCCTGGAGCTTCTTGCCAGATGCGGAAGAAGAAATACATGTGAACGTAATTTAGAGACTCCTCACAAGATTACATAATGCAGCTTGGCTACCTTGAGCACTTGGCGACGCCCCTTTCCCTCGCACAACTGGGTTGCTTGAAGAACGATAAATGTATTAGGCTTCCTCCCTTTTTCAAATGGCATCTTCATGATTGTGAGAACGAAACCCAGGTGTGATGTTTATTCCAGATATATTAATTTGGAATAAAACCAATGGTCACCCAAAACTGAGCCATTCAAACAAAGCGAAGACTGTTATAAATTCTAAGGTGAGAGCAAGCACAACACTCTTAAACAACAGAGACTGCTATTTTTATACATGCTGTGAGATAAATTACAACCTGATAACCTATCATATTCAACAGCAAAGGATGGTTGCTGATGCTTGGGGATGCCCATCTAAATCCTGTCACAAAACCCAGCCTCTTTCACATTAACTCAGATAATGCTCTGAGCATGGACAGCATTCTCCTGCTACTTCTAGGGAAGGATAATTTATATGGTATTCTTTCAGACTTCTATAGGTGGAAAAGACCTATAAAAGCTTGAAAATACAAGACATGTAGCAACCTGCTTTGAACTGAAGAGGCACCTGGTCAGATTATCGGGAAAATGGGACAGCCATGCCCCAAACCGTACAAAGCAGCAGGAGGGCACCAGGTTGGGAAAGACTATATTACATCAATCAACATGTCAGAAGGAGGACACAGTTTCTAAAGCCTTTGAAGTCAGTGTTAGCCTATGAACTGTGGCTGAGCATTCTCAAGGTTGACAAAGTTTCAGGGTGGCTTCCAAAGGCAGATACAATTCAGATGGCATAATCAGACTCTCCCAGAGGTCCCACTTCCAGCATTTGAGGCCCCTGGTCATGAGAAAAAATTAAAATGACAGCACCCAAAAGCAAAATAAGGTATCCAAAATAGAGTGAGGCATAATTTGAATACATCTTTTATTTAATGAACACTTATGTAGCTGAGATACGTTTTGGTCTGCAATATACGGAGCTGAATGGCTCCCCTGACCACCACCACCTTGCCTCTGATTGGCTGCCTGACATAAAACTGGCATGTCTCAGCTCCAATGCCACTCACACAATATCTTCCATTTTTGCATAACTGGCTCCCTTCTTTTATACCTTTGTGCCATTTCCAACCTTTTAAATAAGATATTAGTTTACCAAACAAGGAGCTTGTAGGTGTCTCAAGACCTCTGTGGGGAAAGGTTAGATGGCCCAAAATAAGAATAAATCTGATTCTTATTCTTTATTTCTACTGTTCTCATGTATACCACTTAAGAGTTTTATTATATTAAGCAACATTTAACTCTATATACATTAACAAAAGCACCTATGCCTCTTCTGAAGAAATGCAGCCTCTCCATTCATTAAGATAGGCACTATATTTTGGTACTGTGTTCAAATGCAATGGAAACAATGGGCATTTATTCATTTCAGGGGCAGTTAAATGAAATTAAACATCATTGTGACTGACAGCATTCTGTTTTGCATCACTACATTGCCTACAAGGAAAGGGCAAGTGTCTGAAATTCCAGCACAATTGATAAGGATTGCTAGCAATGGCTATAATTAGTGCATTTTATTGCACTTGACTGCCTTCACCATTGGGCTGGAGTGTTTCTCCTCCTTACTTTCTCTCTCTTACACTGTTAACATTGAGGCTGAAAGAGCTGTCATATCTAAAAGAAGCTGATAGTGGCTTGTGTTTTGTTGTCTTTTGGGACTGAGCCTTCATTGTCAGCATGCCACATAAATGCCATTCTTGGTACTATTATTTTCCATTCAAGTACAACTTGGTTTGCCTTCCACATATATAGAAAGCACACACACTGTGGGGGAGGAAAGGATGCCAAGGAAAATGTTCTCTCTTAAACTGATGAAACATGAGGGCAAAACTCAGTCAATAGAAATTGGGAAGAGAGGTCAAAGATTATCTTTCATAACATAGGGCTTGTCCACAAAACCAGTTATCTTTGCAGAGCAACTGAATAATGCTATTTGTTCTTAGTTGAAAGCCCATAATCTTATCTTTCTCCTTTTCTTTCCCCCGATTGCTTGTTTTCTCTGTACCCTGATTTCACTCATAATCACTTAAAAGGTCTGATCAACTTTATTCCCTACTTCTGCATTACAGCAGGAAAAAGCACCATCTGGAAATGGTGTCAGAAAAGTGCTTCAGATGTTGGCAATCCCTGAGCAAGCCCTTGTAGACTCACCCATCTTCTATCCGAACCCAGAGGTCATTGAATTGTCTTTGGCGATGGTTTTTATACTGCTTCTTGTGCCACTTCTTCTGCCGCCCAAACTCTTCCAGCTGACTGATGCTGTCTGGCAGTAGAAGATGTGGAGGAAGACTGTCTTCTTCACTGGACTGAGGAGGCACTGAAGATGATGATGGTGGCACAGGGTCAAAAAAATGGATAGCAGGTGTGGCTGTTGCAGAGGATCCTCTAGAGGGTGCATTGATGTTTGTTCTGGGGATGCAAAACAAGCTTATCAAGAAGTGATTTGTGGCTGTGCTAGAAAAATCAAGATCTGAAACAACTGGGTTGAAATTAATTCACACAATGCCATTATTAGGCACAACAGATAGTACACAATACAGTCATACCTTGGGACAAATACGCTTCAGGATAAGTATTTTCGGGTTGCGCTCTGCGGCGACCTGGAAGTAATGGAGTGCGTTACTTCTGGGTTTTGCCGCTCGCGCAGATGGTCAAAATGACATCATGCGCATGTGCGGAAGTGGCGAAACGTGACCCGCAGACGTGCAGTCACATCTTACGTTCTATTCAGGATGCGAACAGGGCTCTGGAACGGATCCCGTTTGCATCCCAAGGTACCACTGTATGCAATATTGGTGGTGCAAATATTAGCAGTGCAAAGGTGGCTGAAGTCTTATGTTGTGCCTTCCATGGGAAGGAAAATCAAGAGCCACAAAGGTTGTGGACCTGCCTCCTTATTTTATTCTGAGCACACAAGTCAGACATCAGCAAACCTGTCCTGTGCAAACTAACCTGATCTGGGGAAGTGAATGAGAGCCTGAAGCTGAAGAATGAATCAACTGCTACAGTGAAATCTTTTTCTTTGGAATTTTCTGGGAAACCAACTAGTTTGAGCAATGGACTTTCACTCACAAACTTATCGCTCCTTACCTCCCCACTGCAGCCCTCTGTGTCCCTGCAAAAACTGTTCTAGAGGGTTGGAGGAATCTTCCAGAGCGCAGGGAGGGATGAGGGAGCTACAGAGTGGAGAAGAACAAGTAGGATAGCCTTGTTCTTAGAATCATATAATTGTAGATTTGGCAGGGGCCACAAAGGTCATCAAGTCCAATCCCCTGCAGTGCAGGAATCTTTTGCCCAACGTGGGGCTTGAACCCTGAGACCCTGAGATTAACAGCCTCATGCTCTACTGACTGAACTTTCCCAGCAGGATTCCCCAGGTACAATGTTGCATCTCACACTAACTTTGCACAGGCACTCAGTAAGGATGCTTCCGGTTTCTGTTTGGGAGAAAGAGGTTAGATTCACATAACCATATTGTTCCTTCCAAGTCTATGATGGTCTTATCTTTGAAGAAGTAAAGTTTCGTTTTAGTTTCATTACATTTTTCATAATAGTACAAAACATATAACGTGGCAGCTTTGGGCCTTGTGCCATCATTTTGCTACTGCATCAGAAGCAATGCCAAACATGAGCTAATATCACTTTATAAATTCCCATAAATTCCACAATGGGAATATTTGTCAATTCAAGAATTCTACACTTCTTTACATATAACTTTCATCCTCTGCCCACAGACCACAAAGGCATCTGTCTTGTTGTATGCAAATCATGTAAGTATGGAAAAGCTTGCAACATACATAATTATTTGCCATTTTATATCCCCCTCCCAAGTATTTGGCTGCAATTGTTAAGGTTTTGGTGACAAATGCTTGTACATCTCATTGCCTGAAACTGCCACACTCCAGCAGTGTAGAAAGGAAAGCATATATAATATACATAGGGTCTTGTGGCTTGCATTTAGGAGACACTAACATATGTGATGATGCAGTAGTAGTAGTAGTAGTAAGAATACCTTAATATATTCAATGGCAATATGTCTTTGATCTGTCACCCTACTGAGGAGAACAACATAAACTGTGAGATGTTTAATCTTCTTCATTTTATCTTAGGACTCAAATGTCTCAGTAAAAGGAAGAGAGGAGGTGGAGATATTTGTTGCAATCATTGGCATTTCACTCATATGGGTTAAGCTTATGCTTGAAACATGTAGCAGTGGGTAGCAGTGGGTTCTTCTTAGCTGGTTCGCACATGCCATAGAACTGGCTACAGTCCATTGACTGTAGTGTGTAGCCACCGTCCCACAGTCATCTATGCCTCCTCTTCAAAATTTGTGCTATTTGATGACTATATTCATTTTGGAAGGAAGTTATATTTATTGGGAATACTTAAAACAACAAGAACAACAACAAGTAGAACAACAACAACAACAGGAAAGGAGAAATAGCTTCCATTGTTTCTCAGGAACCATGTTTCATAATCTTTGCCCCTGAAATAAAGCCATTTCATTTCTCTTACCGTCAAGAAAACCCCATTATGCAATAAATGAAACTTGAGAAAATGAAAACCACTTGCGGTGTCCTTCCCCAGAGCATATTATGTCACTCAGGAAACATCCTCCTTGGCGTGTATGGTTTTTTCATTGAAAGTTTGCTTGTTTGATTGGAAGTGCTTTATTACCGTGCCAGCTGCCTGAGATGGTATCTCTGCCGTTCATTCACATACTTCCCAATGGCTGAACGACACCCTGTCCCCCCTCTCATTCCAATGGGTTTGGCAACTGCTGCAGATTATAGCTGAAACTATGGGTGGCATTTGGCCTAGATTCTAGCAATCCTGTTGCTAGTATTTTTCTATGCATTGCTTCATGCCAGGATATTTTGGCAATATCCTCCAGCCGCTTGCTTTCCTGCCTTTGCTAGCTTGTGTATGGTCCACTAATGTTTTTATTTAGTGACTCGACCAGAAGTCTTGTTGGTGTTGAATTAAACTTGCATTTCCAGTCAAACATCTACTTCTAATATTAGCATGCAACACTTCATATAACTTCTCTGGACACCACCATTAATAAAAGGCCATCTCACCTGTAGTAATTTGATGGTGACGCCCAGAGAAAGGTTTCTAAAGAGGAATAAATAAGTAACAAACTAAGATTTCAATCCACAACCCACTTACTTAAAAACAGTCCCGTTATAAATTGCTTTTGAGTGTCCCTCAAGTCCTTTTATAGCATTGTGGCTAAATGGTCAGTTAGCTACAAGCTGGGATTACAATCCTGACAGCTGTGAGCAGAAAAAGCTGCTATTTTGTGCTTGCCATAGAAGTGTAGAAGGCATAACAACCAGGGAGATGGACAAGAACTTTATGTTCTCTCTTGAAAAAGAACATAACAAGAGAAGAAAGCCTCTGACTCCTCCCAGATTCAAGTACTCCCAGTGCCACCTAGGGACTAAACTGTATAATAACACTATCCACACAGTGCGCTTGCATGAGCCATGTGTACAATTAGCTATATGAAACAAGCTTCCATACATGGAACAGATTATTGGGTTGCAGTTTGATTTTCCTTATGTCAAGATCTTGGGTAAACAGCTGCTCTGCATTAGAAAGAAGTTCTGTGAATTGTGGCCTACAATTATAGAGTTCTGCATTGACTTTGAAGCAGTCCCATTAAAGTCAGAAATACTGGAGAAAGTGGGTAGTGGGTTGCAGTAGTAGCCCTTGTGAGTAGTTGTAATGATTTCAACACATGCTGAACCATTGCTGCTCAGTTTAAAGAGATTAACTTTGGAAGCTGTTCAGACAAATGTGTGAGAGGATTCTTAGCTTGACGGCATGATAGTATAGGTGGGAGAAGTAAGTGCCGGACAGTCCTGAGTGACTGCAAACAGACCGCAGACGTCAACAGATAAAACCAGCAATCTCTGTAGGCACATGATGCCACTCAATCCTTTTGTAGCCACTTGGGATGGTACAAAGTGTAGCAGCACTTTGTTCCAGAGGAATATTACTGGAGGCTGAAAAGTTTCATCCACAAGACACAAGTGCCAAATGAAAGAAAGCAGGATAAGCTCCTTCCACCCTGCATGCTGCAATCACTTGGAGAGATTGATTTTCCCTCACTATGTAATTTGGAGTGGTAAAGAGGTATGATTCGTGTTAGAACCACTCCAGTTATTTAAAGTGGATTACTGCAACACAGGGCTGCATTTGAAAATGGCCCATTGTGCTTCAGTTAATTCATAGCTGATTTTGAACCTTTAAGGCCCTTCATAGTTTGGGACCAGGATACCTGAAGGATTGCATTTTACCAAGTTTAGTGACTCAGATTGCGAGATCTTCTTCTGAGGCCCTTCTTTGGGTGTCCCTACAAGGTGAGGTGGGTGGCTGTTTGGAAAAGGGCCTTTTAAGTGGTGGCACCCTGGATGTGAAATGTTCTCCCCATAGAGGCTCATCTGATTGCTAATTTGTCATCATTTCAGTACCGAGTCTTTTCTTCCCCCCATCCCTTCAAAATTTGCTATAGTCTCAAAATTTCTTGAGTTTACTCTTCTTTTTCTGCTTTTCAAGTTTTCTGCTGTTTGTTGTTTTGCTCTGACTGTGTTTTTTTTAAAAAAAATTCTATATAGTAACTTGCCCAGAGAATGTTTTGTTATAGGGCGGCCTATAAAGAAAGGAAGGAACAGACATTGTAGTCCATTTTTTCACAGGTAAAGGTAAAGGGACCCCTGACCATTAGGTCCAGTCACAGATGACTCTGGGGTTGCGGTGCTCATCTCGCTTTACTGGTCGAGGGAGCCAGTGTTTGTTTGCAGACAGCTTCCAGGTCATGTGGCCAGCATGACTAAGCCGCTTCAGGCAAACCAGAGCAGAGGATGGAAACACTGTTTAGCTTCCCGCCAGAGCGGTACCTATTTCTCTACTTGCACTTGACATGCTTTCAAACTGCTAGGTTGGCAGGAGCACGGACCGAGCAACGGGAGCTCACCCCGTAGTGGGGATTCGGCCTTCTGATTGGCAAGCCCTAGGCTCTATGTCTTAAGAAAATATGCCAAAAAAAGAGAAACAAAACAAATCCGGTCCAAAACCCATCAGTGAGATTTCAGTAACGCCTATACTCATACAGCAAATATTTTTAGCTTCTCTACCCAGCTTTACAAAGGCACTTGGCAGGGACAATTTTACTCTCTACCCTTTTGCAAATGAGTACTAGTAGCATGTGCATGTGCACTTTTTTATTGTGCCAATCACAGATCAGGCAAGAAATTATGAAGAATTGGGTGCAGGAGCATTGCTGTATCTTTCTCATTATCCCTTAACCACTCAGACTGCAATGCATAATATCAACGGGGGTTTCTTTTGTAGATATAAAAACTTATTGGTTAAACCACCAAGATATTACTACCAAATTAGCAGGTTTTCTTAGGAACAAGTAAATGTTCTGGAAATATCTTGGTGGATATGAATGATATCTAATGAAAATCCAGTTCTTCTATCAGTCAAATCAACAGGACATTTCTCAGAGCAACAGGACTAAATGGTTTTTTAAATCTTATTTTAAAGTATGTTGCTAATTCTTTTATCTAAAATTTACCCAGAACAACTACGTTTCTTGACTACATTCCTTGAAAGTTAATTGGATATATAAGTGCAATAAAATCACAAAGGAAACAATTTTATGAGCAGATGGAAATTCCTTGGAAATCTGGTGTGCATATTTCCAGTGACCAATTTGTAAAGCATTCATTCCTTCTAATCCCACAGATTTGGTTCAAGTTAAGAATTAATTTGTGCACACTCAAGTTGAAATGTTTTGATTTAATCCCCCACCCATCCTAGTTAGAGGCTATTGAGAAACCTGTTGTCATATAAAAACAGGTGGAAGGGTGGAATGGTAGAATAAAAGACTCCATGCCCACAACAAATCATAACATCAAGGCCATGGAGGCTTAACATTTGGCTATGGGCTTTGGTTTCACAAGCTGCACAATAGAGGATCTCACAGGCCAAGTTATTCAAAGATTAATCAAAATACTTATTCTTGGCAGGCTAAGGAAGCCTTATTTTTCAGATTTAATTAGGATATGGACTGAAAGGTCAGGAGCACCAGATTTGGCTTTCAAAAAACCAAGTTGGCTTTAGGAACAACTGATGCACAATGTCACAGTGAGCCTTGGCCTCCCTTGCTCTGTCCCCTCTTCTCTTTTATGCCCAAAGGTTTTCACTACCCTGAGTTCCTCTTCTTGACATACAATCTCAGGGAACAGTGGTTTAAACTATGCTATGAAAACAAGCCAGAATATGAAATCATGGTTCCGTCTTGGCTCGTTCTCACTAAACACCGGCTCCAACTGCACTATACATTTAAAGCATTATCATGTGATTTTCAATAGCCATGGCTTCCATCAGATAATCCTGGGGACTGCAGTTTGTGAAGAGTCCTGAGAATTATTAGGAAACCTCTATCCCTCACACTGAGCTACAGTTCTCAACCCCTGTTCCCAAGGAACTCTGAGAACAGGATGTGTGTGTCTCCTAACAATTCTCAGCACACTTAGCAAACTACAGTTCCTAGGATTCTCTGGAGGAAGCCATGGCTATTAAAAATTACATGATAATGCTTTAAATATATAGGACAGATGGGACCATGGTTTAAACAAATCACAATTCCTAAAATTCATATAATGAGGGGGAACAGCGGTTAGTTTACAAATTAAAAGTTGAAGCTTTCAATCTCTTTGCAATTAAAAAAGAAGAGGAAAGCTGGAGAGAGAGCATAGAAGCCTGTCACCATGGATTCTCATTTTGAATGAGTCCTTCAAATGTTATATAATTCCTTGAGTGCTTTGATTCAAGGCAACCACAAACATTTTGTATCACTTTTCTCCTCTTTTGCAGGGGGGAAGAGGAACAAAGTAAAGAAGTTCCACTCTATACAAATTCCAGTGAGCAAATCCAATATAGCAGCTGCTACCCATTTAATCTGAAAGAACCTATCAAAAAGAGCAATTCACTATGCACCTGTGACCAGTGATGGCTTTCTATTGTTGCTGAATTCTCAGAATCTACTCTGCTCTTCAGAAGCGTATCAGTATTGTGTGCCCAACTTAGCTTGGAATGCTGGCAATGTTGCATTTCTTCTCCCTTGAATTCCACAATTAATGTTTGCTCCATGAACTGAATTATTGAGGCAATATCATTACTTGTGATCTTGGAATCTATACAACCATCAGCAAAAACTATTGGGGGGGGCATTGTCCCCCCCAAAAAAATCAAGCCAGAATTGGCATCTAAATAAATATGGATATAAGACAAAACAGAACTGGTGATTGAGTCATACTTAACATTGGTTCAAGGCACTGTGACAAAATTAAGCTTCTGTTTTGCTAGTGATAGTCCTCAAGTCAATTGTCTTCAAGAGCCTCCCTTTTTATAGAGCATTTATATACAGTTAGATAACAGCAATTCCCTCACCTCACTTCCGGATCAAAGTTGTGACTGTGTGATTGTGAATTCAGAATAAGTCAATTAGACTTGCTTCCAGACATTAAAATTGGTAGAATTATATAACACGTGGATAGGGATGGTTTGCATTTAAATGTGAACCTGTCTAATTCATACTTCCAGAAACAATACAGAAACTGAACCACAGTTATCCTTTGAAATTTACATGTCTCTGAATTTTGTGATACAGTTTTCCATCCAGAAAACAAGTACAAAATATGTACACTTTGGAAAGTACAAACAAAAATGCATGCATTAGTGAAAGAACATGTAAAACTGCATTGTTTGCAAAACTGCAAAGTGGTGTGCATATTGAAAAAGTGTGTGCATTGTATATGAAAATGGGTATGAATTTTCATGCAGGCTAATGAAAAAAAATTCAGAGACTGATGTGGAAATGGATTTAAGATTGGAAAAATGAGAAACTGAGAGAAAATGACCATTGAAAGATAGGAGAAAACTTTACTTTTTTGACCCTGTGTCATTCTGAAAAACAACTTCTTATGACTATTCTACAATCTAGTGTTTATGTAATGGCCTATGTTTTTGCGAACAATGCATTATTGAAAATGTAATAGATTTGCTTATTCACAGGAAAAGGGGGGAAATAAAGACAAATGAAGCTTACTTTTCTATTGGTTGTCCTGCAGGAATATGCTTTACTTCAAACCCAGCTTGCTTCAGCACATCGATAACAGTATTGTTGCCCAAGAAGTGACCTAAAAGTGGACAAATAGAAAAGTCATTCAGAAACCTGATGAAAAACTTTTTATTTATCGCTGGACCTGTATCACAATATATTCGAGGTTCAGGGTAGATAACAAAGTCAACTGATTAGCTAAAGAACAATACGGTAGCATGATTCCACACCAGAACTTCATTGTTCTGTGACCTTGCCCAGGTTCATGCATTTAAAAGTCCCTGAATGCAGAGGATTCCTACTGTTGCAGCTACAGTGGCGGAAGTAAAGGATAAACTAGATTGCTCACTCATGACACTCAATCCTTTAGAAGCTCTGCTTACAGTTTCTATCCCTCAGCAATGGCAAAGGATAAGTTCCAGGCCAACTTCATGTGGGAACATTATGAAACATACAAACTAAGATCAAAGCTGCAATTATAATTGCAGTGTAGGTGAAGGCAAGTAAGGAAAATGCTACTTTTCTTCTATTTCAGGAGACACTACAATCAAACCTAGGTTATCATACAGACACAGGCAGATACTTTCCTCTGTCCTAGTGATCTATACTGGCAACAATTTCTCTGTTATTTGTTGAAAAATCAAATGTCACGTCCATCATGCTTCCCTGTCTGCATTTGCCTTATCTGCCTGGATTGATTTTGGAATTGAAACTGCAGATCGGAGAATTAAGCTAAAGTCATCTCACCCAAATTTGACATCACAGTCCAACACTTTTCCTGGAAAAGAACAAACCCCGTAAAGATCCAGATTAATTCATTCCTCTGAGAGGCCCAGGCTCCTCAGTGAGCCACAGGAATTCTCTAGTGTGCAACACTTGTCTTTGTTCTGTTTGTTCATTTTTATGAGAGCTGGATTTTGTTTCAGTAATTAGCAGCAAAAATAACCAACCTGGTGATCAGGATGTTGTGCATACACAGAATCAAAGAGAGAAGAGCAATTCCTGACTATTCAGTACCAAGACACAGGGTAAAAAGTGATGCCCACCAAACTGTAATTTTTACTCAGTAAAATTAAAAAAACAAAAGTCAATGTGGCTTAACAGCTTAATGAAGATACACAACACTTGCAGTTGCCCAACAGTGAGATAAAATGGGTTCAAAACTCAGCAACAAAATATAATGTGTGATGAAAAACCGAATAAAAAGTGTCTAAATGGCCTGCTACAAATAAACACTTTAAGCTGCCAAATGTATTTCAATCATACGCTTGTCTTCAGTGGCACATACTGAAAAGTAAATTAACAGTTTCAAAGTGGATCAAGTACATATTATCTCAGGCTTGTTTATAATGGGGAGTGCAATCTTGAAAAAGCAAAAAACAAATATGTAATATTATGTTATATTTGTATCTTACTTGCACTACTCCTTTTTGAAAGCTCTGTATATGCAGCTTCCTTATCAGACCAGAATGATGGATACAAAAATGCATCCCCTTTCACAAGTGGGGAAAGTGTCTGGATGTGCATTGTGATGCAGTGCACACCTGAGCATGGCTTGGTTAAGGTGGCTGGGCACAGTCAGACTCCTGGGGAATGGCACATGTAGCCCTGATATTAGGATGCAGGCACTCAGCTTGGAGAACAATGCAGGCAGAAAGCTATTCCACTTGGGGATCCCAACACATTAAGCAGTGAGGAAATGTATTCTCTAATCAGCAGCATTAAGCAGTGAGGAAATGTATTCTCTAATCAGTTCAGTAACATGCACTGGGGTGGGAGTAATGAGAGCATGGGGAAAGAATGGGGATTAAAGCTCTTCTGATTGGAGTTTAGAGCTCCGCAGTGGGAAAGAAGTGGGGAGATGATGGTCCAGAGGCATAGCTGGCTGGATTAGGCCAGCAGGTCTGAGGTTCCCCATCTCCGCAGTGCAGCAAAGGGATTTGCGTGCCACTGCCTGCTTTTGCATGTGGCTCTTTGCTGGCTTAGGATGAGCCTGGAAATTACTCAATATTCAATGGTAATTTGGATGCCAAGCTCTTCAATGATTCCTCCCCTGTTTATTCCTGTTTATAATTCAGAGAAAGCATGATAATCAGTATCAGTTGTAAGGGTGATATGCATGTAGAAATTTCAGTACTGTTTGCAAGAGCCATAAAGCGGTACTTTCTAGCCAAAACACACTTTTTACAACACTTAAAAAATACCATATGAAATGAATCTCAAAACAAAAACAGACAATAAACCCCAATTAAAATTGCATTTGCAGGTTCCAACTGGATCCAGCATTCCACCCACTCCTTTAGAGAATTGTTTGATTCTGGTTTACTAACTGGCTTATAACTAAAGCAAAGACCAGGGTCCCGAAAATGTGTTACATGACCTCAGAGATCTGAATGCTAGGACCCTGGTGAGTCATTAAGTCGGCTCTATTGTAAGCATCCAAGAACTGTGGTTAAAATGCAAAGCATGAAGAAACAATGGGCTTGAGTCCTGCAACTTCACAATTACAGAGACTTTCCAAAAATACTAGCCCAGATTGTGGTCAGCTCCAAGGCAATGTTGCCAGTACTGCTTGCATATACAGATTATTGAAGCAACAGATATCCAAAATTGACACAAATCCTTGCGAGGAAAATCACATTGTGAGCAGCTATCTTGAAAACAGTTAGCATACAATCACCACACCAGCTTCAATATGGTTTACCTCAGTGGTCTGAAGAGTATGGGCTCTCTCCCATCTCTCTCACGGTCCAATGCTAAGCAAATTTAAGAGGTTTTTGGCTCTACAGATCTCAATTTGGACATCACATAGGTAGTTCTGTTCCATCTGCTGTTAGTAAAAGACTGAAACAGATACTGCATAGATAAACTTACAATAAAGCAACCTTTTGGTCTTCCCATAGACTTTCTGTTTGCTAATCAACATTCCTTTGTTTATGGCCCAGGCTCTCCTGGTTTCAGTATGGCAGACAGCACCCTCTTTGCTATAAACAGAGCCAGCACAGCGTTATAGATATTATAAAACATTTGTCCCTTTCTTCCATTTTGGAAACCATGATAAGTGCTAAATAGGCCAGGCTGAAATCCAGAGGTTTCTCTCTCTTTCTCTCTCTCTCTGCTCCCACCCCCCAAGTTTAAATATTCTGCTGAATTAGGAGATGAAGTAGTTGCAGCTATTCCTGGTGTTCCCATCTGGTCCTGTAATCTGCTCCATTCCTTACCTGCTGTAACAAGCTGGACTCAAGGTGTGCCATAGATTGCAGGTGCGTGTGTGTTATGTGTGTGAGAGAGAGACAGATGTAGGAGGGGAAAGCTATGGGTGCCTTGTCTTCTGAGTCCACAGCAACATAAAGATAAAAGTTGGGATCTCTGGGTTGCAGCTTGGCAAATCTAAAAAAGGGCAAGGGCTTTCTTACCCAACTCTGAAGTGCTAATGGCCTCTTTCTCCACCTGGAGATAACCAGTGGTGGAGGAAGCCACTCGGGCGCCTGGGGTGGAGTACTCAGGGGCAGGGCGAGCTGCCCATAGGGGCCTCTGGAGTATGCCTGCCTCCTCCCACTCAGCTGCCCTACAGCTGGGGGGTGGGAGAGGCAGTGGGCAGACCTTTTGGGCAGCACAGAGCCTTTGTGTGCCCAAGCCACCGCTCTCTCCCAGGGTGCTGCAGGCCCCACGGTGAGTGCCACCCGGCATTTTGTCACCCCCCTCAGTGGTGACACCCGGGACGTCCCGCACCCACCGCCCCCCTTCCTCCACCCCTGGAGATAATGTATCTGGATCCAGGCTGTACTACATGAGGCTGCAGGAAGAAGCTAATGTGAAGGGATTTCTCATATAAAATATGGCCTGTAAATATAAAACTAGCACACCAGGGAGAAGGTTGGGCTAGAGACCTTAACAGTTATAGTTTTCTGTGTACAGAGATGATTTTGTCTGGAAGATATTCCACTACATGAACCTCACACTGGCAGCAGTAAGCCATATAACCTAAACACAGACCTTTCCACCAGTAAGAACAAGGTCTCAGATATCCCTTATCTCTTATCTCCAGTAGGAAGTTCCCACATGCATTCTGAGATGCAGTTCACCATTTTACAGGCATGTTCAAGTGTCAGTAAACATTCCTTGCATTCAAAGCCACCATAAAAAAATGGTTCAAACCCTGGCATCTCCAGGTAGCCCTGGAGAGCCACTGCTAGCCAGAGTAGACCAGGGCTATCCTCCAAATGTTGCTGGACTACAATTCCCATCATCCCTGATCATTGGCCATACTGGGAATTGATTTAGCAACACCATGTTGAGTCTAGTCAGAAGTGGCACATCCTATTTTGCCACCTGAAACGAACTGAGAATGTGCTGCTATGCCACAAACCTCCCTTATGTGAGTTATGTGGCAGCGCCCACAAAGAGGAGATACCGAGAGCGGGTTCCAGCAAAATCTCATGAGTTCTGGTGAGCTCTAGTGAGATTTTGGTGAGAACTTGCTGCTGCTGGCACCACTTCTCTGCTGGTTGTTGGGTGGACAAGGTGACCACAGGGGCATCGCTTCTTGGGCTTCCACCACCAGAGGTAGCTACTCCATCCTGCCTCATGGGTGGGCCAGCCCTGGCTCTACTGTAGGCAATACTGAACTAGATGAACAAATGGTCTGGTTCAGTGTAAGGCAACTTCCCATGTTTCTAAATGGGTAACAATTGTCTACCCAATTGTTTGATCATCAACAAACAATGGTTAGATTTTCCCAGCTACACATGTAAAAATGTTTGTTTGTTTGTTTGTTTGTTTTAAAAAAGGATGATTGCTTTTGTAAGATGACTCATTTAATAAAAATGTCAATTTCTGCTCCCCAAAATGAAAGTCTTAAGTTTTATTCTTGAAATATTTCTACAGAGGTAGACAATTGTTGCTGGTCTCGATTCTGTGGTTGATTTGCTACATTTGTCCTGGACAAAATCCTTACAGCATTGTTCTAATTTATTGTGACAGCTGGTGAAAGCTGGGTCAGATGAGGGCAGGATATCTATTTGATTGGGGAATACCTAGCACACATGCAGCAGGGAAGTGGGGGAGCCTCATACGGGA